TGTGATTATTTGAGGGGTAATTCCTTCCCATGTATTATTTGGGGTGGCTCCTTGAGCCTGTGGTGTGTTTTAGAGATACTGAAAATTGCACTCTAAAAAGTATATCATCAGTAAACCAAAAAAAATTACAATTAAATACTTCAAATGTCTTTATTAATGATTTATCCTCTCAGTATAGCAAGTAACTCGTTTATTATTCCTAATAGCTGCAAAAGTCAGAATAAACCAAAACTTGAAGAGGTTCTAGTGGAATGATTCCATCCACAGACTCGAAAGTTGCATTTCAATGTCCTGTTTTCACAACTGACTCTTTGATAAAACTGGTTAACCTCTCTGTCTTTCCACTAGCTTTCAAAGCCAAAAAACGTAGATAAGCAATTGCTAAGGAGGATTCTGCTATAACACCAGATTAGATACGGTTTAAATGACTCCTTCGATGCTCTGTTTGTTGCTGTACTCCTATGTAGTGAGGAAATTATAATTATATTAAGAAAACCTTTCAGTTGCTAATACGGTAATTTTCATAGTTCAATATTTATCTGCAAAGCTAGTCCCGTAAAGAAGTAGAGTTTGTATCTATTTTTCCCTTTAACTAAGCGTGGCCAAGCGAGTGGAAACGCTCTATGCCACTATCATCATCGCCGTAACCGTTACTACCCACCCCCACCATCGCAAACATCATTGTCATCACCATCATTATCTTCACTTTCGATAAAACACGTCACCTTCACCAATCAGCACCGACCGCTATCATCCTGTCCTTTACTAAGTATCATGCTCCATATCACCACCAGCAACAGCACCACTCACCACTCACCACCCCCATTATCATCATCATCATCATCATCATCATCATCATCTTTAGTCAGCACTATCACAATCACCATCGTCGTTATCACTTTCACGAACACACACCAAACTCGTCATCTTCACAAACTATCACCTCCATCACCAGCACCACTCACCACTGACCACGCCCATCATCATCATCATCATCATCACCATCATCATCATCTTTAGTCACCACTATCACCATCACCATCATCGTCATCCCTTTCACTAACACTCACTAAACTCATCATTTTCACGAACAATCACCACCAGTACCAGCACCACTCACCACTGACCACGCCCATCATCAGCAGCATCATTATCATCATCATCATCTCCACCAATCACCAACACCACCGTCGTCATCTTTACCTTCACCAACCACCATGGATTGCCATCATCATCACGATCAACATCACCCTCATAGTCCATTACCACTAAAATCACGAGCACCATCACCATCACCAACGTACCTTATTATAGGAAATTAACGTCCATGAAATTAAGGTATTGGAAATTAACGCGACTTAAATTAACGCAAATTTAATGGAAAACGACTTTCGAATAGAGAAAATTAACGCGAAAAAGGAGGTAGAATTTCATAATAAAGGAAATTAACGCGATAAAGACACAGTTGGTGGCCGAAATAAAAGGAGAAGATATTGACATTACTTCTGACAGCGACAAAGATGAAGATGAACTCGAAATATTGTAGACCTTCGCCCTAGCTTTTATGAAAGATGAAAAATAAAGGGTAAATGGAAAGAAAGAAAGCTTGTACTTAATGTTTTTTAGGTGTCAAGAATGTCTGGGCAGGTTCCAAAATTGGGGTTAAAATACTGGGAATTAAGAGCGCGGAAATTAACGCTGCACTTAATTAACGTCGCGGAAATTAACGCTCAACAAAATTAACGCTCCATAAAATTAACGCGAATCATAAAAATTCGCGTTAATTTTATAGAGCGTTAATTTCTTATAATAAGGTATTTGCCATTGCTATTGTACCTCTTAAGACAAAGTAGAAAGAATTTACTTCTTTGTAAAGCTTACCTTTGTCGCATTTCTTGACAGTTTTCTCCCACACCCTTGGACATTTTCCAACTTTCTCGCGTACACAACTGACGCTGCAGATCTGATTCTGGCCGTCTTCCTTTAAGTACATCTTAAGTGTAGAATTAAAAGAACAGGATTCCATTTGAAACTCTTATGCTTAAAACAATCGGCCTGTTCCCAGCCTTCGAAAAAAACCAGCATTCAGGGTTCTATTTCCATGTACATGTACTTCTCGCTTAGCTTTTCAAAGCAAGCGTCCTCCTCTTAACGTAAACTTACTTGACTGTGTCTTGACATACTTGGATATGGCATGCAGATGAAGAAGGTCTTTGAATTTTTTATTTCGGAAATCTTTTCTAAGAAGAACATTTCTGTGTCTAGTATTTTCCTGCTTAACAGTTTTTCCTCTAAAACTGAATTTTGCCATTCAAGCGATCAAGACGCAAAAGAAACTGCTTTTGACTTTCTTAGAGGTCACGCTTATTTACCTCCTCAGTTCTTTTAACCAAATGGCTCTACGGATCGCAGGGAAGCGTATAACGTATATATTTAACAATTATTCCTCGAGCCCGAATGGGCTGTGAGTCAATAGTCCATGAGACCGAAGGCCGAATGGGCTATTGACTCAGAGGCCATGAGGGCGAGAAAAAAAAATTTAGCTAGTTAAAGCTAGGCTTTAAAACTTTTTTGCCGCCAAAAAGCCCGCGCTTTTCGCCACTAGGGGGCTATAACATATAGCCTAGTAGTAGCTCAACCAATCAGAACGCAGCATTGATAATAGACCACTAGTTGGATTTTAAAGCGTATATACCGCGCAACTAACCTGTGCATAGTAAAGAGCATTAGTCTTTTCTGTGGCGCTTGCATCTTTGCCGACCCACACAACCAGGCCCTCTTCTGTCTCCAGTAGGAACACTGGAATAAAACATGACAATCGCAACTAAATTAGAATATTTTCATAGAGTCGACTGAAATAGTAAAGTAAGCTTACCCAACCAGAGTCGATCTTCCCAAAGCCTCTCTCTTCCGAATGGGGCATCAGCAGTGAGTCCGTTAAAACAACTACTCTTGGCACTGACTATCGTACTCAAATAAATCGTTCACTTATAAACTAATTTATAAAATCGAACATAAATGCAGCTTACCATCACTGTGGTCCAGTAAGGATTCTTTGATGTCATCATTGGTAGCTACGACTTTGAATTCAAGTTTGTTCTTGTCCGTGATGACTCTGTATACGAGCCGTATGAAGTAATATGATTAAGTCTGTGAAATACTTGAAAAGGCTTATTTTAACAAACTGCTTACCTCTCCACACCACAGGAATTTACCCAGAGCCAAATGTGAAATAAGCGAGTTTAAGAGGGCCTAAGAACTGTGACCTACCAAGCAAACATTATAAATATACAGCTCAGAGGGTACTCAGACGTTTCTTACTGGAAACCTCCCTATTACGGACACTTCTCCTTTACGGAGAGTGCTGTGGGTCCAAGGACGCCGAACTTCTTCAGTCTCTACTACTACTACTACTACTACTACTACTACTACTACTACTACTACTACTACTACTACTACTACTACTACTACTACTACTACTACTACTTCAATAACCTACTTCAATAACATACACCTCTATAATATGCCTACCTCTCTATAATACGGACAGCTCTGTGATGTGGACACTTGGTTCTGCCCCTTTGCATGGTGGCATTGGTTTCATTAGGCTGAGCTAGTAAAAATAACGGGAACGTCATTTGACGACGGGAAAGCGCGCGGAAAAGACTAAACACGACTTCCGGTGCCCAATTTGTTGCTGTGCCATTGGTAAAGCCAGTTCTTTAATTTGCGCGCGCCGTCGTCAACTGACGTTCCCGTTCTGTTTCTGCCAAAAACGTACCTGATTAACCTTCTTTGGAACTCTTCTTTGCTTTTCTTTTAAGAGAAAATTATGTTACATTAGTTTGTCTAACGTTTCCAAGTGCGCAAAAACCGCCAAGTTACTAGTTTTGTGCTGGCCATGGTTTGATGTATTATCACCCTTATAGTATTCTCCGCTATTTAAATTCAACGTCCAAGGCCTGGTTCCTGAAAAGCCGATTAGTGCTAATCCAGGATTAAAATGTTGTTCCGTTTTTGTATTTGACATTCCTATGCATTGCTTAGGGTAACATTTTTTTGTACCTCGTAGTAAAGGCTCAACACTGTATTTTGTAACCTTGAGTTGCATGTTCTAAGGCAAAAAACCGTGCTTCTAATTTGCCATAATCCCGGGTTAAACTTAACCATCTTTCGAGTAACCGGGCCCAAGTCTTTAACTTAACGTGTATAGGATTTACTTATGCGTGAAAAGGTGGTTTTCTCACTTGTTCTTTAAATCTGCATGACTCTACCTTGTAAATATTTATGATCGCTTTTGAGAATGATAATAACCGTATAAAATGATAATGTAAATGTTTCGAAAAGATAGTAACATACCGTTTACGAATGAACTGTGATGGTTCTAGTTTGTTAATTCCCCCGTTATCAAGATACCTAAGATACTCTGGACTGTACTGCAGGCGAGTTTTGTGGCCCGAACACGAGGGTCCCAATAGGTTTTTCGGGATCCGCCTTATTTAGAGACTGGGATTCGGGATTCTAAAACAAACTGGAGGCGAAATTCGGGATTGGTAATATTCGCGGGACGCCAGGATGTGGAATGCTGAAATTAACCATCGGGATCAAAGGATTGAGCGAAAATTTAGGTCGGGATGACGGGTGCTTAAAACATTATTGGGGACCCTCGAACACAATAATTCCCATGGGTTGTGGTGGAGGAGCCTAAGCAAATCGCGTTTAGTTTTCCTCTGCTTCATTGAAATCAAAGAGGGCCACTACACAGATAAAATACTGAATGCTCACTCGTCTTATAAGTATTGCGATGCTACAAGCTAAAGCCACACGCCTGGTAGAGCCCCAAGTTAAGGCCTGTCTTTACTAAAACTTGTTTGCGCGCAAAAAAATTGTAAATTGTAATTTGTTTACCCACGAAGCACTTAGGAGCTCTTAGGAACTCGCTTAAACGTGTCCGTGCTTTCCAGATCGAATTGGAATTTGGCAGTGTTGGTTTTTTGAGGAGAGCAGAAAACTGGCGTACCCATAGAAAAACCTCATGGGAGCATTGGACAGAATTAACAACAAAATACGTGTGGCGTCGACGCAGGGATTTGAACCCTGGCCACACTGGTGGGAGGCGGATGCCCTTACCACTACGCCATCCTTTCTACTCATGAGGTCTTGCTTTGAAGTCGTTCAATCGTATTCCCATTAGATGCACCATCCCTAATCTCACAGTAAAGGTTATTAGATGGTAGCCATGCGTCAGGTTTATTGAGTGATAAAGTGATGACTGGATCACATGTCAAGTGGGTGTGAAAAAAATAGTACTGGGGCCAATTTACTGAAACTTGTACAGGTGTAATTTACAAGTGTAGCTTTTGTTTTCAGACTGTAAAACAAGGCTTCAATTGTAAATTACACGTGTAAAAGTTTTATTAAATTGATCCCAGGCCTTGTAGGTCAAGTAGTAGATGTGTAGTAGATCTGATCTGTCGTAGATCAAACCGTGTCTTACCAATTTTTCTTCTTCCTGTTTCAGTTTGGGCAATAAAACCAGCTGTTAAAACAAGGTTTCTTGGGGTAAGTAAAAAGGGCGCGAAACATATATAAATAAAGAATGATATCAGTACATTGTGTACTGTATTGGCCCGTGGAACGGTATTGCCTTCCAGTTTGCCTGTAAAAACACAACTGACCGATATATGGAAGAAAAGCGCAGGAATCTCTAATACTGTATTGATGTATTAAGTGGATTTTTTACTATAAAGGCGTGCCATTTATTTCTTGCCATCCCCTTATTTAAAGTTACACCGTTCTAATATTTTATTGGCTTCTGTTTTGAACACGTACCCTATTTTCGTTAAAATTTAAATCTTTTAACATAGGTATTAAGCTCCTGGCACAGACAGGTAATTGAAATAACCACATTACAAAATGAGATGATTTGAGGTACCTCATAGATTTGATCGTTCTCAAGCTCCTCCAAGCTGTCTAAAAGAAAGGAATTTGAATACTCAAAACGGTAAATTGATTAAGTCTTGATAACCTTTATAAAGGTCTTCTTCTTCTTCTTCTTCTTCTCCTCCCTATCTATTAGTAGTATTCTTTGCTTAAACTGTTTCCTTGTGCGGTCTGTATCTCTCAACGTCATAGTGAAATGTTTGAATGAATTTAAGACTAACTAAAGCATAAATTATGACTTACCAAACACCTCAAGTCTAGCTTTGGGGTATTCTGCCTGTATCAAAGACGGAGATGATGACCAGTTTTTAATTTATTGAAAACAAGAAGAAGGAGATAAACTTTTCTTAAAGATGTACCTTTTTCTTGCTCATCCAATTATTGAACGGGACATTGGTACTGATCGGAGTGTTTTTTCCTCGGAGCTTCAAAACAACAAAGAAATATTGTTTTAGTTATCTTAACAATACGGTGTAACAGGGACAATTAAAGTCGCACGTTTTAGTGAGAACATATTTTACTTTGACTTCATAAATCCGACTACGGGCCCAATTATCCATATCAGTCGCTTTTTATTTTCTTTCTGAGTATCGTGTCTGAGAGTTACTTTGTGACCGCTTGTGAAGGCGAAATATTAAGGCACTGTGCATTATGTGCGTTGAAAGAGCTCCCTGGAAAGTGATCCTTCTTTCAATATTTCATACCTGAATTAACGACGAAAATGGAAATGGCTTTCGAGCTGTTTTGCGTGAAAATTTAAATTTTGAAGCTGAAGTGTAGGCGGAGGTCCCCCGTACAGGGGTATTCCTCGTACGTACCAGATTTGTATACACGACGTGACTCACATGGCCTTTTTCTAGTGCATTTGCCGTAATACTGCAGTAGAAAAAGCTGACCCTTCTAGGTGGTTCGAAACTAGGCATGATTATATTGGGTAGACTGTCGATTGAGTATGGAAATATTTAAGAGTTCGTCCGCTGGCATTTGTGGCGGACTACATTCGAGCCTCTACTAAGGTGTCTCCTATTAAGCGGCCATCCTTTATGTAGCGGCCAGTTACCATAGTTGCCGGACGAAAAAAATGGTTTGTAAATTACTAGGCCCAGTTGTTCGAGGGTCGATTAGCACTAACCCGGGGTTAAATTTTAAACCGGGATTCTTTTTCTTTTGTTTAAAAGCATTTTCTCGGATAATTTCCCCATTTTTTTTGGAGCATCCCATCACCTAATTGCAGACCAAAAGAATTAAACTGAATTTGCTTTTTAAGCTTTTATATCTGACTTTAAAATTCGTACTAACCCTGGGTTATCTTAACCCTGCTTTGAACAACCCGGCCCTGGTGAATAGAAACTGTATGAAATGCTGCGACTTATCCCTTCCTCTGTTGCGGCCGCTTGATAGATTTTGGACTTTCTCTGTACTTCATAACATACTAGCCACGTAAATTATCCTGCTTTTTCTTTAAATTTGGCCCTTCAACTCCCTCAGTGGAAGGTTACCTGGATAATGCGATCTTCGCCGGAAAAAATCACCAAAAATCCATCGTCACAACAGAGATGTCTAGTGTCCAGGGGCGACATGGCTTCATAAGTGTACCTCTCATACTCCTCGTTCCACAACTTTTTGAAATGAACTATCAAAGTATCTTGCTTGGTAGAGTCTACGTGTCGAAATACGGATTCAATTCTGACCAAATTATAAAAACACTGTTTGTCAAGGTATTGTTAAATTATTGACTAAACTTCCCCGATAGCGTTGTTTTATTCATCAAAAGGGGGGCATATATCAGTATTGTGTCACTGTTGCCCACTTTAGAACTGCTGTTTAGAGAGGGAAACACACAGTATACAACAGCATTTCCACGCTACTGAATTCCACAATATTTCTGATTGCTACGATTCAAATCCATGGCAGGTTTGCTGCAGTTGTCTAATATCTTAGACCCAACTTTACAGAGGCAGCTTGCGCGGCTGAATAGTTGGTAGCGAAGACTGGTTAGGAAAGCCGGCAAACATCAAAGATGAAATTAACAGTGTTGTAGATTATGTTGGAAGCTCCCTGACCATGCACAATCCTCAGTTTTTTGTTCACAAATTGTGAATGAATAAATTAATGCGATGTTTCTATTGGTCAGTAAGCTCAAAATGATAGGCTATTGAACGTTGTGCACAGTCAGGTCCAAAAAACATCTAACAAAGAAGTCTGTCCGGTTTCATAACCATTCCACTTTATTAACTATGGTGGTAGGCGCCTGTCAGTGTTTTTGGCTATTATTATATATATATATATATCGCAAGAGGGAACAATTCTTTTTTCCTTTTCTTCCCTCGTGTGCGCGCGCTTCCTCGTAATTTCTTTCTCTCGCCCTTAAAAACCGGCACCTGCTAAACAGGTTAAGGCTGACAAGTCAGAGCAAAGCTTCCACAGTGTTACCACTTATTATAGTTAGTCAGTGTATGGAATACTAGTCAGTTGAAATATTTTACCCGGAATTGTGTTCCCTAACTCCATTTTATCCCCTTTGTCAACAGAAGGATGATATTGTTGCGGTGAGAGTATCAAAACTGTATCTGATTGTTGGTGTAAAATGTGGATGCGAAATTTTACTTACTCCAGGTATGGTGGTCATTTGATGGGTCGTTTTTGTTGTTTGTTGGTTTTAGTTAGGATATACCATCCAATAAGGATAAAAGCGTTTTTATCCGTCGTTATTTTCATGAGTTTAATTCAGACCACAAGAGGATTACGTTCTAATTCGTTTCGCTCAAACGAACGTAAATTATTTTGCTCTTAAATGTAACACCTACAAAACAAACAACGCTATTTGATAGTTGGATGCTCAGGCATTCCAACCAAGTGAGAGAGTGAAAGAGGAATGCGAGAGAGAGAAAGAACGCATTCTACGCGGACGAATTTATGATCTAGAGGAATCAATCAGAAGGTGGCAGAAAGGCCAGAAGAGAATTGTAACATACCAGCGGAAAATACATTTTCACGCGTTAGTGTGCGTTCGTCTCCCACGTCTGTAGTACATGTATGAAGTGGTTCAATGAGTCAGAATGCTATTAAAACCGAAGCAAGAGTTCGAAATCTGATTTACATTCTTGGCGCCCTGGCACTTGAAAGTTTTGTTAGCTTAAGGGCTTTGAATGATGGTGACCCTACGATGGCCTTGGATCTAATCTTGGGAGGGACTCGGATTCACAAAACTTCAAGGTCCTTTTTGTTGTAAAAATTCGCCAGATGTGGTGCGCGCTCTCTCACCTGTCCCATGTAAGGACATTTTTGCTTGTAGGATGTCGAATCCTGGGCTTTGGAATCCGGAATTCAGCCATCTACAGTCTGGAATCCCGCTAACGATTGGAATCCGGAATCCAAGTTCTACAGTTCCACTGACAAAAAATTCAAGATTCAAAAACTGTCTTGGAGTACCTTACATGGGACGCCTCTCACAATAAATTTTGCGTATTAAAAACGATTTTATTCTCATGCAAGTTTAATGTTCATTTCTTCTTGATTTAACTCACCCGCCTTCTTCTATTTTGATTCCTCCCAAAGCAACAAAGTATTCCTTGAATGCCTGAGACTCGAAGGCTTCAATTTCACGGTGCTGGACCGCTTTATCGTCCAACTGTAGAGACGGAAGGGAAACATTTCATGAATTTTGAACAGAGAAGGTCTTCATTTCATCATTCAAGGTACCAAAACAATAGTTAAGCCACGAGGCACACTTAGGAGGAAGTTAGAATGCCGACCATGCTAATGCGTTACTTAGAACAATAGGCTCCAGATTAAAATTCATACTGCTATTCGCTATCATCAAGAGCCATTATGGCTCTTGCAATCACTCTTACCGTCCATAAATATGCCCTCAATGCTTTTTTATGCAGTATACAGGTATCGTAAAACGTGGGTAATGATCATGACTTTTCCACGCGGAGCGCGGAAAAAATAAGTATCCCATGCCACACGGCGGGAAAACAAATAGTGTTCGCCAAGCGCGTGAAGAGTGTGTAACCAATGCGCCCTAGACGTGTGGAAATCTTAAATTGTAAATTGTAAATATCTTACCATCCACCCGCCTCAGGGCTTTTCTGGGATAATTTACTGAAACGGTTGGGTGTTCAGTGCTTCCTGCAGTTTACTGTCAATGAAGTAATATGAATGCCTCCTAATGTGAATGTTAAATCGATAAAGTCCACATTGTGGACTAGTACATCCTCTACTCTCTGCGAACAGTGAGTGGGTTCTTTAGCGTCCCACGGAATTTGTGATATGTGTAAGGGATAGAAGACGGGGCTAGAAGGGTTAGAAGACTAGAAAGGTTAACTATTTGCAGATGTCATTACAAAAGCAGTACTTCCTCCTCATTTATTCAAAGACCTTGAGTCTCGGTCCGGCCGGGGCTTAAACCAGCGGCCTCCCGTTCGGCAGACCGGCGCACATCAAACTGGGCTAAGCAGGTGGCGGTCCGCCTGCAAAACTGATAGGAAGGGCGGGAAATCACTTGTTTCAAAAGTCGCGATCAATTTTCTATTTAGTTGCTTCCAATTGAATTAGAAGACAGGATTTTTCTTTGTCGTTTCATTCGAACCATTTATTTATAGCGGAATACAAAGACGCATTTTAAAGCTACGTATGCATTCCGGCATTTCCTTACGTAGGCGTCAAGTTCGACAGTTTTGTACGCGGCAGTTGTGTACTCATCTTGTGTAGAATGTTTTCCAATCCAGAAATGGACATCATAAAATATCACCTTAAAGATAAATGCATTGTAAATTACTGAATGTTAATTACTATTTAATATTATTGGCATGGCTTGATTTCTTAAAGTGTTCAGTAAGCATTGCCGGATTTTCCGTTCTTACAGAAACGTGAAAAGGTTTCAGATGCCGAAAATTAAGATTAAACCAAACCATTATACCCGTAATACTTAGCGCAAAGTGGTTTTACCGTGATTTTCTAAAAGGCTCGTTACGTTGTCGAACATGGCGCTCGCCTATCATATCTAGTCGAAGTAGAAATTGCTCTAAACTGGATTTATTTCCTTGTCACTTGCTTTTCGTCTAATATCTCATGTCGGTATTTCAGGGGCGGAGGGCTTCTTACAAAAACCTTTAAACTTCGGCCTAGACAGTGGGGGGGGGGGGGGGGGTTGGGGTGATTGGATGTTTGGTGGTCTATCTCTTCATAGTCTTTGGGGCTGGTGGATCGCGGGCCGTTGTGTTATACTACACGTTGGAGTTTGGGGGTGCGGGGGGGGGGGGTGGGGGTCGGCTTGGGGTCAGTAGAGTTTCTGGTGATACTACACGGTGCTTGAATTTTGTAGCTGCTTACCATTACTTTATTGGTGTAAGTAGCGAAAAAACAAAAACAGTCAAAACCAGTCAATCTGTCAATCACTACTCGACTTTTCTAAATGCGAGAAATGGGTAACAACAAAAATAGGACCTTTGAGTTTCATATTGAACTCAAATTTAGCCACATTCACTTCCAAGATAAATCACGGGCTGGCGTCTGTATCATTAGTATCCGTTTTGGCCGCAATAATTATCTTACCTATGAGCTTAAACATAGAGACTGATAACTCTAAAAAAGTGAACTGAAAACATGTAGTACAAACATCTGAATCTGGAGATGCTTTCTCCGTGTGAAGAATGATGTATGAGTCACCACTGAAGAATGTTCCGTATTTTTCCTCAGGCCATTCTCTTACCTGGTAATAAAGCAGTAAAAAATCTAACGACAACCGATTCGGCGAAATGCTAGTCACAACGCAAACAGCTCAATGAAATTCAGGAGTTTGCAGACAGAGTTACAAGATTTAACACCCCAAATAGGCCTGGTTACCAGCCTAGCCTACACCCCGCCCTGAGTTAGCCTTTATTTTCGTCAAGACCACAAAATTCAAACATTGTGTTTATATTATAATCTTTTTTAAGATTAAAGAGCGATAGTGATCCAGAAACGTGAAAGCTCTATTTTTTTGTTAAAACGGGCCAAGAACTAATGAATGAGTGTACGAACTATTAAGAAAAGATGACGTTTCAAGTTTGCCTGAAGTTAGATGTGTGAGATTAGAGCTATATTACCAAAGTCTAAGAGCAGAAACGTGTCTTAAACTTTGACAGAGGAAATGCTTCCCCAATCTGTGAAGTTTTTATTTTTTATCTTTCATTGTCACAGTTTGGACTTTATTTATCACCATGAATTATTTTTAAGTATTCTGTGTCGCATGTCCTTACGTCAAGAAAAAAAGCCTTAGGACGCCAACTCATGAAGAACTTTTTATCGTGCAAATGTCTCTTTCTGATTCACGAATATTAATCGGTCTACTGATCAAATAAGTTTAAAATTTTTTGTTTGCTGCAGAAAGTCAGATTTTTTAGAATACATCTTTGCCTGTACAAAGAACGACACAACCATCCTTTAAAAGGGATCATCGCATTCGAGGTCAGGCCCCCTATCAAGCTTATCTCTTTTCAATTGACAGGTGTTTCAAAATAAATCTAACAACTTTTTTACCTCAAACTTTTCGATCCTCCAAATTTTCAGTCCATTCTCTTGCATTTTCTTTGTTTCGCTCCAGGCTGGCTCGGATGAGGCAGCATTCTTTCTCGCCTAAAAAAATGTTTTTTTCTACCATTGCAAAACATTCACCAAGATGCAGAACACTTGACCGGTACCTTCAATGATGTCTGATTTTGAAAAATACGAACTTACCAGTATGTCTTGGTTGCTTCCAATATTTGCAATATTTGAGTGTTTCCAGTCGTACTCCTTCTGTTTCACCAGTCCGCTCATGATTGATGGTGTGAACTATTTTAAAATAACTGTGGAAGCGTTTTTTGTTCGATAGAGGATTTTTAACAGTACACTTGAGTAAAAATACAACCTTCAAACCGATAAGAGAAATAACTCGTGTCTAATGTGGCGCTGGTAAGCAAAAGCCCAGCTGTCATATTATTGTATAGCACCTATTTTTGGAAAGAACAGATTAGATTCTGTCAACTTTTCTCGTACCCGCTGCGTTTTAGTGGTTCACCTTATTCACTTGAACAAGCAAGCTCTGATTGATTCATAGTCAGAGTAATTTCATGATAATGCATACTCGGCGCTTTATGTCAAAAGTTTATAGAGTTGATAGGCGATCTGGCCAACGAGCTGACTTTCGATATACTTCGGAAAACAATATTCATACTTTTTAAGTATACGTTACCATTTATATTACGAGGGTCGCTTTGTCTTAAATATTCAGTGAGAAGCTATATCATTTAGGTACATTTGTGGTTAAAACTTTTAAAACACGCAGGAAAGTAAGTTTAGATTTTTATTAAAAGTCAAAGTAAGACACATTTGATTAAGTTGCCATATGGCTAATACATTCTAGACTCGCCTGTGATTTCGCCTGTGATTTCCTAGTAAGGTATCCATTGTTAATAACCACAAGTTATGATGCTCCTGTTGTGCTTTTGTTGCAAGGGCTTGCTAGTTTGGTGAGTGTTTGTTGCCAATACACAGTGGCGTGCCTTTGATTGGTTGACTTGAGCGTCAGCGTTCATCGTATTACCTACGGGTGTTTATAATCTATTGTTTTAATTCCTTATTTCACTTTCATGTTTTTAAAAGTTTTTCGGTGGACGTTGGAAGCCGGAGTCTAGTCAGGGTTGGGCTTGTCACCACACAATCTACAGGATAGTATATGTACTGTCACAAGAACGTCCAGAAGACATTTTTTCAAGTAATAACTATTTTCGAGAAAGACAGTGAGTGCTTTTCTGTCTAATTGCCTTTCTTTGCTTGAGGATTCATCACTGTTTTTCTACTTATCATAAAAAAATTGTTGCGAAAAAAAATAGCTTCGTTCCTTGTTGATAAGCCATAGCCACTACAACGAAATGACATTATCAGAGATGTCAGTTCCTTGTGAATTGGTTTTCCCTAAGGCTTAGCGCGAGCAAGGATGTTTGTAGCCGAGCGGGGTGCTGGAGACGAGTGAGAAGCGCAAGCAGGACGCGCTTTCCATTATGATTATATCCCGAAAATAAGCGATCGCGAGAACGAGGAGAAAATGCAACTTACAACGTAGCCGAATCACTATATTGACCGATACGCCTTTTTTGCGTTACGCATAAATCAACTCTTTTCCATTACTTTTGTCTTAGCAAGATTAGCGAGAAATTGGCGCAGTGTCACGCAGTGATATCATGATTGTTTGCTTCATTTAGCCAATACAAGTGCACGAGTTACATAAAAACGAGCCTTGGGTGGAACGTATTACAAGATATTACTGAAATATTGAAAAGTGAGAAATATCCAGTATCTATCTTAACAGCGGATCAAGTTGTGATCTTTTCTGGCCCGTTAGGTTAACTTAAAATAACTTAGCCGGCTAACCTTTTTTCAAATTGACAACCATGCGCGTTTTCTTTTTAAATGAGAAAATAATCAGTAATAAAATATATGTCGAAAAACCTGCCCTTTTTTAGTGTAAGATATAATTTAAAAGCATTAAATCGTTTTTACGAAATATTGTAACTGACGCAAAAGAACTGAGTCAAGCTTTATTTGCCGTATTTATTCTATTACAACCTGCACTAATCATTTGTTTTTTGTAATTCTCTCTCTTAGAGACCGGTCATTATTTATCGCCTGGAGGGTGGGGGGAGGATTTTAGGGGGAATCACTTGATTTTTTGGAGAATCAAAGGGGGGATCGCTGAAAACTTTGGAAGGATTCAGAGGGGGAACCACTCAAATTTGCTTGGAAAATGAAGACATGGGCGGGGGGGAATCGCAAAAGTCATCAAAAGTTATTAGGGGGGATCACTTCAGTGAAGTAACATTCGAAGGGGGGATCGGCTAAATTTCACCTTGTTTAGCCCCAAATCCTCCGCCCCCCTCGGCGATGAATAATGACCGGTCCCTTAAAGAATAGCCCATGTCGCAGACGTAATCTAAACCCTGTTAGTAAGGTCTGCGAAGCAACGCAGCCGATATCTTTGCTCTTGGCCCCCAACGGACTCAACTCAACGGATTACCGGAAATACGTTTCGAA